TGTTCCATTTGAAATAACAAAGTTGCTTCTTCTTTATAATAGAAGTGGCAACTCCGCATTGTCGAATATATTTAGATAGAGCAGATTTCGAAATGATCTGTAGTTCGGTTCTCCAGATAGGTACGTCTAATGTTCCATCCAACGTGAAACACTGCATGTATACTACTTAAGAAACTCTTCCCGATTCTCAAACAGTTTCGGGATTGATATACACTGCCAGCCACTGACGATAATTCAATTTCCATAGCTATTGGCGAGCAGTATTTTATCACTGATTATTTTCTTCGTATCATTTCAAACCAATCAGAACGTTCAGTTGAGTTAAGCTAACTTGTATAATTTCTATATACGTGGATATACATAAAGTAACTCCGCTACAAAATTCCTGCACAATTACAACTCGTGTCATTTAAACTGACACGCTTTGTAATTATGCAATAAGTTATAGATGTATATCCCGAATATTTTGAACCACTTATAGTATTACTGCTGATAATATCCCCATCCCAATAAACATAATCTTCAGTAGGAGAATTTATGAATACAATCTCAGTTTTTGTTGATAATTATTAAGAAATATGGTGGTTTTTCACGAAAAAAGAAATCATATTGTTTAGTATGGAATCTTTGATTATACAATTGAACTTTTTTGTTACAGGACTGTTCACGAGGAGTAATTCATTATGTAAGGAAAAATTATATCCCCCACAATGGTGAGTTCCTTACATACATATTCCTATTTCATATCTTATCAAGCTGTTTCCTTCTATAGTCATCGTATCACTTACTGTTATGGAAGGCGATATAACATAGAAAATGTTTCCATAGTCAACTTTTTGTCTCGATGAAGACACGACAGGTACTCTTGCGAGGTGAGATAGTCAAGTGTCAACACTTGACGTCGGTAAACTCTCTTTGCATCCGAGGTAGGCTCTGACGGGTTTGGAATACAGGTTGTTCTTGAAATAAGACAAGGAAACATATCCCATGTTTCCAGGCATCAATTAAATTATTCCCTCTACAGGGTGTTTCTTGAGTACGAGTGAAAATTAGAAGAAAAGTTCGTATAAACATATGTCGGCAAGTTGGGTTAGGCATACAAACAAATTTTTATTCATTTATGCGATACAGATTGACAAAGTTTGATTCTTATTCCTATTCTTTAGGAATGAATTCAAAAATAATTGTGACATAGGAGTGAAATTTGGTATCTCACTCGAATATCAAGATTATTTTGGAGTTTATACACAAAGATTCGAAATAACAATCCAACTTTGACACTCTGTATCTCAGAAACGAATAACTTGCGGACATATGTTTATACTAACATTTCATCTTATTTTGACGTCAGCAACATGCTCCTGAATTTTCAACACGTACTCAAGAAACAGTGTTTTTTATCAATGAGGAAATTGTTGGCTATGTGTTCCTTACATTTCTTGAGTAAACTTCAGAGAGATCTATTCCAGAAACCAGCGATCGGTGATGAGGTTTCCCATTTCTGTTGCATATTATATTCAATTTATTTCGAATATTTCTTCAAAATTCAATATTTGTTATGGAAGACGATATATTATAGTAGATGGAGACACGACAGGTACCCTTATACGAGGGGAGAGTATCAGCCCTTGACGTCGGTAAACCCTCATAACAACTGAGGTAGACACCTATAATGGGTTGGGTCTACACAGTGTTTTTCATTGAGGAGGAGGAGAATCTATTTCGTTCATTCAAGAAGAATATGACGCATTTCAGCACCGGAATTTGAAAACAGTTTTCGTATACATTTTAGTTTCTTATTCCATGTAACTTCACAATATCAAGCGCCAATTTATTTTCAATTCGAGATTTAATGTCAACTATGTTTTAGATTGAAGAATATACGTGTTATGAATTGACCATTTAAGCCCAACAGAAATATCGCACAGAAGAAGAACCCAGACATAAAATCAGCAACCGGTGATAAGTGTCCCATTCCTTTGTCGTATTCAATTCATATAGAATATTTTTTCAAAATTAATTATTTGTTATGGAAGGCGATATATCATAGAAAATGTTTCAGTAGTCACCTTTATGTCTCCATGGAGACACGACAGGTACCCTTACGAGGGGAGAGTATCAACCCTTGGCGTCAGTAATCCCTCATTGCAACCGAGGTAGGCGCCTGGTGGGTTAGGTATAAACAGTGTTTTTCATTAAGGAGAAAACTGTAATTGGCTATCTGTGTCGTTCATTCAAGAAGAATATGTCGCATTTCAGCACCGGAATTTGAAAACAGTTTTCGTATACATTTCAGTTTCTTATTCCATGTAACTTCACAATTTCAACCCCCAATTTATTTTTAATTCGAGATTTAATGCCAACTATGTTTTAGGCGGAAGAATCAACGTGTTGTGAATTGACTATTGAGGCCCAACGGGGAGATCGCACAGAAAAGGAAACCAGACATAAAATCAGCAACCAGTGATAAGTTTCACAGTGTCTTTCATCAAGGAGAAAACTGTTGGCTATCTGTTTCGTTCATTTAAAAAGAATATGTCGCATTTCATCACCGGAATTTGGAAACAGTTTTCATATACATTTCAGTTTCTTATTCCATGTAACTTTTACAATTCCAACCCCTAATATATTTATGATTCGAGATTTAATACCAACTATATTTAAGATTGAAGACAATCAACGTGTTATGCTGTTATGAATTGACCATTTAAGCCCAACGGAAAAATCGCACAGAAGACGAACCCAGACATGAAGAATATGTCGCATTTCATCACCGGAATTTGAATACAGTTCTCATTTACATTTCAGTTTCTTATTCCATGTAACTTCTACTATTTCTTTCCCCAATATATTTATGATTCGAGATTTAATACCAACTATGTTTCAGATTGAAGAATCAACGTGTCATGAATTGACCATTTGAGCCAAACGGAAAAATCGCACAGAAGACGAACCCAGACATGAAGAATATTTCCCATTTCAACACCGGAATTTGAAAACAGTTTTCATGTACATTTCAGTTTCTCATTCCATGTAACTTCTACAATTTCAACCCCCAATATATTTATATGATTCGAGATTCAATACCAACTATGTTTTAGATTGAAGAATCAACGTGGTATGAATTGACCATTTAAGCCCAACGGAAAAATCGCACAGAAGACGAACCCAGACATAAAATCAGCAACCAGTGATGAGTTTCCGATACCTATTTCGTATTCAATTCATATAGAGTATTTTTTCAAAATTAATTATTTGTTATGGAAGGCGATATATCATAGAAAATGTTTCAGTAGTCACCTTAATGTCTCCATGGAGACACGACAGGTACCCTTACGAGGGGATAGTATCAACCCTTGGCGTCGGTAAACCCTCATTGCAACCGAGGTAGGCGCCTGGTGGGTTAGGTATATACAGTGTTTTTCATTGAGGAGAAAACTGTTGGCTATCTGTTTCGTTCATTCAAGAAGAATATGTCGCATTTCAGCACCGGAATTCGGAAACAGTTTTCGTATACATTACAGTTTCTTATTCCATGTAACTTCACAAATTCAACCACCAATTTCTTTTTAATTCGAGATTCAATGCCAACTATGTTTTAGGCTGAAGAATCAACGTGTTATGAATTGACCATTTAGACCCAACGGAAAAATCGCACAGAAGAGGAAACCAGACATAAAATCAGCATCAGGAGAGGCTTAAATATTTTTGTGCCCATCATCTCCCACGCCATTATTATTGTTCGTTGTCATATTATTATGGTTTTTATTTCCATTGTTTCATTGTTCATGATCGTGTTTGTGTCCTGGTATTCGGATTGTATTTTGTTCGTTAATATTTTTGAGTTGTGACCGTGATTTTGGTGACTTCTCATTTGAAAGACTATTATTTGAATATGGGTCAGGGAGGCATGATGTTCTTGGGCCGAATTGGAGAAAGAAAACGAGGTTTCTCCTATTATGATCATGTCCTTGACAATTCACTCTTAGAAAATCATAAACTCAGGTTCATAAAACCTACCGTAGAGATATAGGTACTTGAAAATAAAGTTGTATCACCTTGAAAGACAACGAACTGAGTTCATGAGAGGGCTGACAATTCGACAAAAATAAACAAATTGGTGTCATTTTCCCACCAATTATCAATAACTATTGTGACAGAGTTTCAAAAAAATTGTCATTTTATCTTATCTAGATTTTTAGCTCGGCAAAATAACGCTGAAGTATTTTGTGTTCAAATGTCAACATTTGATGACAATGTTCGAAAAACGTAAATTATCATAGTATATTATGCATTATGATTCGAAACTCGGCAAAATAACGCCGAAGTATTTAGTGTTCAAATGTCATTACTTGATAACAGTCTTCGAAAAATGTAAATTCGCACACTATTATACATTATAATTCAACATACTTCAATGGGCAAGAAATAATCGTTCATTGGCAAGACCGGCCCTGGTTTCAATATAAGTGCTCATGCTCACAGCCTTAAATCCGCCATGTCTGCGCGAGGTTCTAATGAGCGTATTATTGATATCATGCATCGGCATTCCATTTGTAGGGTTATAGTTCAGTGTGTTGAACTAGAAATATGAGTTGATACATGGTTTATCAATGTGTGATAAGATCAAAGACAAACCTCAAATACGATCGAGAAATATATGTTGTGATTTACCTGATAGTACCGAATGAAATTGTATAGGAAAATTTACCTAAGTTCATTTTGTTTTTTTTTTATTCTGAACAGATTCTGAATGAATGAAGTTATGAACTAACTGAAAATGACGAAATGTGATAAAAAATGTCGCTAAATCACGAGCTTCGCACTACCTTCGCACGCTTTATTAGCGACTTCCAGCCGGTTTTTTCCTAACCTCTTGTGACATTTCATGTTCAGCACCTGGCAACACTGGCGACTGCGTTATTATCTATCCATTTTGGTTGGTAGCATTGAAGAAAAAGATGGAAGAAGAGGAGAGAACTAGAAAAGTTTTCTCTCTCGTTCAAGGTAGAAAATTGGCCAAGGTCTATTATTAACAATATTGAGCTCTTTTTATTTCTTATTTCCAAAACTTTCTATTTTAGTATTTTACCACTTATCAAGTTCTAATAACAATTTTCATTGTGTTCTCGTTCTTGTGTAGTTTATTGTGGATTAATGTTCAAACGTAAAATGGACCGAAAAAAGTCCAAACTAAATAATATAGTTGTTCAGTTCAATGCTATTATAAATGAAACCACAGTTTTGAAAGAAAATGTTGAAATAATAATCAATCAAGTGTTTTCCTGTGTTGATTATGTTAAGGAGACTCCGGACGATAATGTGGGACAGACGTGTACAGACATTTTGAAATATGAATTAGAAGTACTGACAAAGTTAGTAGACATGAACTCCTTGTTAGAAGACATCTGGGATTCAAACATCATAGATAAATGGAATATACCGAGGAAGAAATATGTAACAGAAAATGATCTGGAAAACCATATAATTCCAATTGACGCCCAGTATGCAGGTTTTCAACTACCAGATTCACAAAATACAGAAACTAGCATTGAAGCCAATGTAGAAGAAAATTCTGTTCACCAAAATGGGACTTATAATCCAATGGCAAACTGTAGCACATATGTGACACATCAATCTGAAATTGATTCCATTCCTTCAGCTGAAGTAATGTCAAATTATCAACTTTTACAGAGTCATCGTTCTAGGACTGTAGATCTTCCTCAATCAATTCCTCAATTCTCTAACCAAATTGAAACAAATGTTTCACATCTGTCTGAAAGCCATTCTGTACCTACATCTGAAGAAGTCATAGTGAATTCCCAGGTTCCACAGAGCTCCCAATCAGAGTCTATTGTGAATGATGAGGATATTTCTCCAAGTAATATACAAATTGTGAGGCAACACCTAAAGTTATGGAATGAAAAGTTAGGCTTCAGCCCAATAACATATTCAGATATGGCAGATCATTATAAGAAATCAGGTGGGGTTTCACTTGAGAGCTCAGTGAATCCCTCTGGTCAACAATATGCTAATTCAGATGCACAACAAATACCTGAAAGACTAGAAAGGGACTTGAGTGAAATAGTCAGTCCTTCAATGTCAAATATAGACATTGAAATTGCTAATGAAGGTAATGAATATGTCACACCAGATATTGGAACTCCATATAGTTTTTCTGACTTCTCAGGGGTAAGCTCAGATATTTCAAATTCTAATGGAAGAGACAAAACAGCAGCACAATCTCACAAAAGTAATATATATCACAAAAATTCAGAAATTATCAATGGAATTGAAGAATCTTGTACATATGACATTACAGATCAGAAACATTCTTCATCCAATTCAAAACCAATAGTTAATGATTTTGACTCCCATCTGGAGCATTCTGATTTCAGTGAATTAGCTCTAAATTATGATTCTGCAGACAATCTTGGAAAATCCGAAAAATCCACTGCACTGAAAAAATTGAATAACTATGAAATAAGACATAAACAAGAATTGAAAGCTGCTCTAGTTGAACCCCCTCACATTCCTGATATATCACTTAAGCCAACTAAACTGGAGAATATACCTGAGTACATATCAGAAGATTCTGATCTGGCTAAGATGGCTCCAAAAAGTAAGAAGAAAAGGAGTAAGCACCAGACTATAGAAATCAATTATGACTTGAGATCTAAAAAAATTCCAACAGTAGGGGATGCATGTGTATTCAGCCACATTGAATCCCCATCAGAATTTTATTTACATATTGTAGACAAGGAAACTGCAACCATTGACAAACTCACTGAAAAAATTGATGCAAACTTCAATGGTTCAACTTCGAAGTATAGAACCAAACAAGATGCATACAATAACATTAAAAAATACTGCTGTGCATTTATTAAAGACTACAATAGTTGGTACAGAGTTTCTATATCAAATTGGAAATTGAATGACTCAGAAGATGTTGTTGTACAACTTGTTGACTTTGGCAATTCAAAAGTTACTTCCTACAGAAACCTTCGTAAACTCACCAAAGAAATGAGTGAAATGCCAATGTTTGCAGTGAGATGTCACTTGCCCTTGATGTATCCTCCTGGTTCCACAAATCTGAATAGAATCAGTATGTGGCCTCTGGATTCTACTGAAGCTCTCTATTCCTTGAGTGGGGTGTTAGAGGGAAGTAGGTCCATTGAATTTGAACTGGTCTATGTGGAAGCAGAACCTAACAGTATTGCTGTGGACTTGCATAACCCCAATGAAACCAACAATGATGACACAGTTGGTCAAGTTTTGTTGAATTTGGGCTTTGCTGTTCAACTTGTAGATGACATTGATGAGGACAACATGGAGTTGGAAGAGTTTCTGCAAGATACTGATACACTAGAGACGGCAGATAATGTTAATGAAGCTGTAATGGGGTATGACCCACAAGATGAGGTGAGAATATGCAGGTTCACTAAGCCAGATGGAAGCTGCTTCAAGGGCAAGCATTGTAAGTTGGATCACACATTTTTACCTGAAGACGGATTCACTACTGACACAGAATTTGTTTTCAGAGAGGCATTTTACCCACTTTGTCTGCCACTGCCAAAGGAGACTGTTACTATTTTAATTACAGGATATATAGATTCTTGCACTTTCTATGCACATGTAGTGAGAAATCCGCATCGTGAATCAAACTATCTCATAGAAAAAGATCTTTTCGAATTGGAAAAAGTTATGAACACTGAAAAGATAATCAGAACTTATGAAGTATTCAAAATTTCTCCTGCTATTGGCGAGATGGTGTTGGTCAAGGATTGGACTAAAAAATGGAGACGTGCTGTTGTGAGAGGGGTGGAGGTTGCAAATAATGGGGGACCATTGGCAGCTCAAGTTTTCACTTTGGATATTGGTGAAACTTTGACTGTTGACATGATTCATGTGAGGAAAATAAAACCACAGTTTTTACAGCTTCCATTCCAGACTATCCAATGTTATATCAGTGATTATAAAGCTAGTACCAAGTGCAATCAGAAAGATGCTAAAGATTTTTTTGACAGAAATTTATATTTTCAGAACTTTTTTGCCTACATAATGTCTTCTTTTCTGCCATTGAAAATCATAATGAAATCTTTGAGTGGGCTGGACATTGGACATATATTAGAAAACAAAAATTTTGCTGACAAGCAGCTTTGTGATAATAATCCCTTGGAAGATTGTTCATTAGATTTCTATTAATTTATACTAAAAATGTGGTCTGTAGATTTTTGTGTAGTTGGTAGATATCTATATAGGTGCCCCACATCAGTTGATTGATATCTCTGAATATATGAGGTGAGAAACTAGTCATCAACAAAGATCCAAGATCTGCTTTTAATGAACTGGTATATTCATTAATATTGCTTGGATTGTACCTATATTGTATATTTTTCAACTCAGTAATTAATATAAGTAGAAAGTTTATCTGTCATGTATACTATACATCATCATGCTAAAAAGTATTGAATAAAATGCAATATTTTTGTTCCCAGGGTTTGCAAAAAACAAAGGACTGGTCAATTTTCATTTTTTTAGATGTATTTTTGGACCTTGATCAGAAATATACATGGTAATGCACACCAGAGTTAAAATTGAATATTTTTTAATGGGACACCCTATATTCATCATTCTAGGAATGAAGATCTTCATTATCCTAATTTGACATCAAAACAATCAGTTTGTCCAAGTGTTTTCTGCAAATCCTCAAGAGAGATATCAGAATTATTCTATTCTTCAGCACCATACTGTATAATTATATAAAAACTAGTGTCAACAAATCAGTTCAAATGAATCTTTTTTCTGTAAATAGTTACTACATGAATAAGAATTGCCCCCATAGTTGACCATATTATGTAATATAAGAATGAATAAGAGGATTCCTTTTAAAGAAACACCATATTATATAAGTATAGGTAGGTACCTATATTTTGAAATTGTCTTCAGTTTTACAGGTCTCTTTGGGTACAATCTAAAAATACAATGAAATACAGGGTGTTCCGTTTGAAATAACAAAGTTGTTGCTACTTTTCGTTAGAGGCGGCAACGCCGCAGAACTGAAAATAATTTAGGATTATGTCCCCCTCAAGAATGTAGTTGACGTGTTGAAATAACAAAGTTGTTGCTACTTTTCGTTAGAGCTGAAAATAATTTAGGACGATGTCCCCCTCAAGAATGTAGTTGAGGTGTTCCAGATTTTTTTCATAATCCGTTTTTAGGGACCTTCAGAGCCACTTTCTCATTTTCAAAGGGTCACCCTGTATATAGGTTACTTTGAAGTTGACTATAGGAAGGTGGAACCTATGTATGTATATTTTCTATTTTCCATCAATATTCAGAATATTTTGAAATTGCAAAAGACTGAGAGCTATGACTCAATAAATAATGTCTCCTAAGGGAGCTGTGTTCTGAAAGGGGACTCCTGAATGACTGACTGACTTTCCATGCCCAATGTTAGTGAATATAAAATCAATCCAAAATATCATTCAGGACTTTCAGGAGTGTGAAATACAGGGTGGGACTAAATTGAATGTTGCTCAAAATTTTTCATATGCATATATATCTTCCAACAATTTAATTTCTGATTATGAAAATCCAAACCTCTACAGAAAAAAGCTTGTCTTGTTCCATATCGATCAGACATCATTTTCCAGTGAAATCGATTTAAACATATATTGTTACATCTCACTTATTATGCTACAAATTTTCAAATCATGGCATACTGGATGTAACAATATTTTTGAATTGATTTTACTAGAAAAATGATTGATATGGAACAAGAGCACCTTTTTTTCTTCAAAGATGTGTAAATTTTCATATACCCTGATCAAATTGTCCAAAAATGTCCATTAGAAAAGTATAAGCAATATTTATTGTAGTCCCACCCTGTACTACACTCCTGAATGACATTTTGGAATTATCTTATTTTAGTTTAGTTCTTGTACTGAATTGCATGATTTTATCACATCATCATCATCTTCTTCAGGGGCCCCCTTATGAGACATTCAACAACTCATGTTCATTAAAAAAACATTTTGGTCTGTTTTTTTTCAAATTGCAGAATTAACTAGGTATAGGTATCAATGATCTTATAATATCAATTATGGATGGGATACCTTTGTTAGGTAGGTAAAGTTTATTATTTTCACAAAAAACCAACTATAGTATTTGACAATTTATTAAATGTTTATTAGTTGAAATTACCATGTGACTAATGTATTTCATGTTGAATCTTATTTGTTTATTCAGGTATTTGTAGATTTTATATTTAATAAATACATTTTGCACAAATATTTTTGGTGATATTGAAATGAGAGCCCAAATAGAGAAACTTCTCCATTTATGGAAAAAAAAACAAGGGAAAACATCAGAGAAGAAAAGTATTTGATGGGTAACCCTGAGTAGTAGAATTTTCATAACAATGGTAATGGAGAGGCTGTTGATCAATTTGGATCTAGGAGCTCCTTTCTATAGCAATTGTAAAGCAGAGTTACTATGTGTTCCTTCCTGTGGCAATTGAAAAGCAGTTCAACTAAGTAGATTCACTCAGTATCAGAAGATTTACTCCTTAATTTTTTTCTGTGCTTCTGTTTATGCTTCTTTCTCTTCTTATATTCTTCACTATCACTACTGCTGTCTTCACTCTCATCACTTGAAGATACCTTCCTCTTTTTCTTTGACTTTTTAGAAGATTTCTTGTGTTTCTTCTTTTTCTTCAGTTTAGATTGTTTTTCTCGCAATTCTTTCTCCCTCAATTCTGTCAAGGGGGTTAGATAATCATGTTCAGATTCACTACTGGTACTGCTCACATCAAGAACTATTTCTTTGTTTGGATCAACTTTCAAAAAATTTCGACACTGATAAGTTAAATGACCAGCATAACCGCATTTTTTACAAGCAGCACGAGAACTTGTTTCCTTTGCAGGGGGTAATAGCCGTGAGGCGTACTCATTCATTTCTCCTGGATTGTGCTATACCTAGTAATTATATTATATTATGTAGGATGTAGGTATATGATAGATACAATAGTCAGGTTGTCAAATCACCTCAATGGGAATCAACTTATTCAGATTCATCAATTATATTACTTTTTATCTTGACTTTCTCGATTTTTATTTATTTTCAAATTGCCTTAACCTTTGTCTGCTGAAAAAAATCTAGTGACATTTGACCATGATTTAACCTTGATTAAACCATAGGTCGCGTGCAAGAACTGTCAGATGACCGACACTGGAGGCAAAACATTGAAACACAACGCCACTTTTCTTATTTGTTTACAAGTGATCGAAATATTTTTCCACAATTATTTTGGCATATGAATCGTATTTTTCCGCTATTCATCAATTCGCTCATGCCATCACATTGTGCTGTTGTAAAATGCACAAAAACTGCAGCGGAAGATGAAGGAATCCGGATGGTACATTATGATTTAAAAGTAAGTACCTACTATAGTCACTCACATATAGTTTTCATTTTTGAAATTTGGTTATTTCTCTGATTTCTTATCGGAATTCCTTCTGCAATAGGAGCTAATAGAAATATACCTGAAATTTCTAGAATAATGCAAGAAGATTGGATTCATGCAATCAATCGGGAGAACTGGTCTGACATGCTGACGATCGTGTGTGTTGTAGACATTTTCAATCTATTAGCAGTATTAGCTTGTATTGCAGAAGTGGCAGAAGGCAGAAGGAAGTTTAATAAGGAATGACAACATTTCATAATGATAACTATGTGAGATTACTATTTACCTGAAAAATCATATTCCCTATAGTCTCTTGCTGCATTTTTTGTGCATTGTACAACAGCACAATGCTAAGGCATGCTTGAATTAATGAATAACGCAAGAAACACGATTCGTATGCCAAAATATTGTGAAAAACTATTTCAACCTTTTGATTCCTCTGTAAACAAATAAAAAAGTGAGGTTGTGTTTCAATAATTCACAGAAGAGTGAGGTTGTGTTTCAATATTTTGCCTCCAGGGTCGGTAATCGTGCACGCGACCTATATTATTAACCATAACTAACCATAACATAAGTAATAATAGGTATGTTCTTTTTTAAGAACGAAACTTTCTGATGCACCGAATTGTTGGAGTCATCAGTGTTAAAAAAGCGCATTTATTTGACATGACAATCACAACTGTTTCTCCTATTATTTCTTTTTCTTTTCGTGATTTGATGGTGATTTAGGATGTTTTCAATTACAAGCTCAGGATTGGCGGTTGGCGAAAGATAGTAGAGAGTTGAAGTAATCACTGTACGTAGACCTCCACGTAGACGTTAAGGTACGAAAAATAACTTTTACGTATTGTCGTTAAATTGAGTTGAAGTCGTCACTGTCATCATAACGTAATAATACATTTTGTTTTCGGTTTGTATTGGTCATTTTTGGATGTGTGTTTATATTCGACCATTTATTCCTGTCAAAATGAGAGGACTCCTTGATGCAGAACGTGCAGAACTCGTTGGGGATCCCAAATTTGATAATTTTGACTCATCGGCATATTTCGAGTGTAGTTTGGTTAACGTACGTTGATATTTAAGGTATACGTGGAGGTATGTGAGATAAGCACAGAACTCATATATTATAATAATGAGTTCTGTGGAGATAAGCCGTAAGCCCACTAACAACGCAAATTTCTACGTTTACGTTATGTCATGACAACACTTCAACTCTCTAATGTAAAATGGAAAATGATGTATTGAAGCAAGGCTATTTAACTCTATAGACCTTGGTTTGGTATTGCCGATCCAGAACTTCTAGCAGTTCTTCTGATAATTCCAAGGAGTTTAATGTTGGGCAGAGATAAGTGGGTAACTCATCTCTGTGTTGGGAATTGGCAGCTAAATATCTAGACTGTCTGACGGATTATAGACATTTAGCCGTCATTGTGTTGGGGAGTCATCTTAAGAATGTTTGTAAATTGATATCTACACGATCTCCACTTTCATGATTCTCTAAAATCCCAACACCCATCTACACTATCAAATCACAGCTGGTTCTCAGTGATGGTGTAAATTACACTGCACTGAAAGCAAAGGAACGAAACTAAATGAATATAGCCACAGTTGGTGGATTGATGAGACAACAGTGACATTGACAACTGACGTGCTGTTGTTTATTTTTGTGTCAAATTTCAAATTATAATTAATCTAATCATTCAGATATTGTTTTTGCGAGTATTTTTTGCCACAAATGTGAAATAAATAGTGTTTCTTAAAAAAAGCGACTTTGGACAAGGAGAAATTCAATAAAACAATACTTATATTCATTTTCCTCAAAATGAAAGCAAAGTTCAGCACTGGATACTTGACTCCTCAACTAAAAGCAACAAAACAAGTACCCAAAACTGGACGACCATCCGGATCAAATGTGAATTCAGGTAGGATCGAGGGTAGAATGCCTCAAATAAATGACAGTATTTATGAAAAGATTATGAGTTGTCCTTTAAAACGGAAACTGGTACTCAGTATAATCGAATCTGAAAAGGATAATATAGAAGAATACAAGAAAAAACTAGCCATGAAGGAATCAAAGGAGAATTCTGCAAGCCCTTTGAATAAAGTACAAAAAAAGTACCAATGTGAGAGTCCAACAGCTTTATTGAGGAGGCGAGCTCTTGAGCAACAAAATCTCAAAACTCCCTCTGGAAGTAAGTCTGATTCACTTTCTAATGACAATGGAAGTCTCTGTGGAAGTAGAACTAGTTCTAGACAATCTGTAGCAGCTCATTCTCCAGTTCCTTTTGATAAACTATTGAATGGGGTTGTTGCCTATGTAGAAATAAAGAGTAAAGACCAAGACCGATCTGCTGGAGTGAAGGCTTTAACAAATTCAATGGGTGCAACAATTAAGGACACTTTTACAAGGGATGTCACACATGTCATTTTCAAGGTAAGTTATTGAATAGTTGAAGTTCTTCATTCTTGCTCAATTTTACAGTAGATAGGCTCATGAGTTGGTAGCTTATTTTTTCAGCTCCTGACTGAACAGTTAATGTAGATTGTAGGGTCTCATTCGAGATCAGACCGAGGATCAGACTCAGTTCATTATTACAACTTTACCATACTAAACAAAAAATTAACAATTGAATCTTGAATCATCAATCACCTGTAGTAATTATTTATATTTTTCAGAAAATCAGATAAAATTGTTGTTGCTTAATTTGTAATTACCTGAGTAATTACCCATAAGTATGTCATTATTGATCATCAACATACATAGTACTTATCAAGATACCTACCTTACCTAAGTTTCAATAGTTCCATAGCATCTCATGATGCTTTCTCTGTGTTTTGGATTGCTCTGAAAAGGAATCCCTATTATATTTGTGAAATATTGTGCACACCTAGGAAGGATATTACAGAATATTAAATGATATATTATCAGGAAATGGTGGGGCAACAGGTTACCATCAATATTGATCTCCCCCAAAAGATTTCCCCTGAAAGGTTTTCAAAGTCCACTTATTTTGTATAGTGGTCTTCTTCCTATTTTATTGCACTTTTTTCCTTCTTTTATACTGGTCTTGTTTGTGTTTAGAGTTGTGATTTTTATGATTTTTGTTCTGGTCCAGCTTTATGAATTCTGGTAAGAGTAGTATTAGTATTATTATTGGAAGTACCTACCTGAGAAGAAATTAGGATATGTTAATAGAGTTAATAGAGAAAATAGTTATATTCTTTCAATCTGAAATATTTACTAGAATCAGTTGACATGTTTTGTTTTGAAACACTTCAATATTTGATAGAATACAATGCATGTTAACAAAGTAAGGTTATCATCACCTATCTGGTGGATGAAAAATTTTTTATAAGTAATTCACCATGTTGAATATTATTAAAAAAAATGGGGTGCCTGAACAAATCCCGACCAAGCTATATAATTAATTAAATATTCAAAAATCTCTCTTTAATTTCTACTGATGTGTTTAATGAATACATTTTACAACAACCATAAGTGCCTATAGAAATAATAGAATATGCAAACATAGGCTTGTTGCTCTGGTTGCCTTCATTTTTCCTCATCTGACTTTTCGGTTGCCAGGTATGGAGGCCAGGTATGAACAGGTATTTTGGTCCTAGTTATTTACACACACCAGCACACCTACTTGTCCAGTCTATAAATTGAACATAAAAATGAGCACTGGTTTATTGCCAACATAATGATATAGGTGATGTTTTATTTTAAATCAAAAGCCAAGCCAATGTGAATGAATAACTTGAGGAATAACTTTATTCACATGCCCCATCTCTCAATTGTCAACGACACATAATGTCAACATTGCCGACACTGTCATGTCATCAATGTATCCAAGGTTACTGTACCATCTTAAAATAATAATATATCATCAATACATAATGCCAAGATAATGACACATCTTCAGACTTGTAATATCCTGGGGTATAGAAAGAAAATGCAACACCTGGTATATGGATTCTACGATAGATATTATTAAAGTAATTGTTTGATGAATAAAAACAATGACTTCCATAGGTAAACAGTTCGCATTATCGACCCAATTGAATAATGAAAATATGCCAGTACGGCAAAATTGTTGTTTTAATTTTTGGAAGCTACAGCTGACGTAATGCTGTTCCAAAAAAATTGTTTAAACAGAAAAACGAAAAATAACTGAAACAGTCAGCGACCAGATTTTGGGAAATCTCAAGTCGGTCCGGCCGAGAGAATCGCGAATAAGTGGTCGCGTTACGGAAAAGTCCATAGAAAAAGCGGAAAAGCGATTTGTTAAGCATCAGGGTAGTTTTCGCTCTTTTGAATCCGGGAGTGTCTCGAGATCCAGAAACAAATTGAGACGAGGAATCGGTAAATCTCTTATCCATTGTCTTGACTAATACTGTGGGGTTGCATTTGATTTTCTGATCTCAGATTCCTTTATATGTACTATCTACCAGATACCGGGTAGTTTTGATCACTGGTACATATAAACGGCGTCTGACCCTTTTTCTTGGTGCAATTGACGGCAAGATTTTATCTCACGATATCGAAGACTGTCACGTTTATATTGGCCAGAAAACAATCGAAATCTTCCGGTTATCACTGCCTGGTTTTTAGAATGATTTAGTGAAAGGTCAAATTGGCCATTTGTTCGCTGCATGTACATAAGAATAATTTTTTTTACTGATCCAATAATTGTCGTATCTCGCCTAATTTCGTGTTATTTTGTTTTTATAATAAATTTGTAAAATTTCATTCGGTTGTTTCACTCAGAGACCAAATCAAATAAGGGAAATATCAGAGACCCTTTTAAACATTCATAGGGGGCACAAATCCACTAGAGCCCTCAGGGCGCAGGAAACCGAAGCCGTGGCTTTGTCAAGGAGCTGAAGGGTAGCTGATTGGTACATAACCCTCGTGGTATGAAGGAACCCCTTCATATATTATTTCGTTTGGTGACAGTTAGGTATTACAGTCTCAAATAAAAAATTACAAACACATCTAGTTTCATCCTTGGCCTCTCAACTAGACGACCAGACCTGGTACACAAATTTGTATTATCAGAATTCAAGGATTCCTTATAACAATGAACATTAACGAACTGTTTTACTTTAGGTGCAATAACATCAATAGGAATGGGCTTATATCACAATAAAATTTCATTCCATAATTCGATAGAACTCACTCAAACTAGCTCACCACCGCAAACCGTTTATCGCTGTGAGCTCCCTACGTTTTATAAAAAATTATTGAAATCCCCGATTTTTCGTACCTCTGAAAACGAGGCGATGATGTGACGTCAAAACCCTAATACTGAAACAGGACTATTCCAGACAGAGATGAATGATACATGATTTCTGGCAGAGTGAATTAGCGCGAGATCACAGTTGAAAGAATTAATATATCAGTTGCCTCAGAATCCGTACGGCGTTTGGTATTTTCCCTTAACTATGGCGAGATGAGGTTTCTACGTCATAAGAGGGTCCGTTTTCAGATGGTACTATTATTTATGTCCAAAAATTGAACATTCCAGTTAATTTTTCGATCGAATTATGTCGTCAATCATTATTTATGTATGAAAGGATCATTATAAACATGGTTTGAGTTAAAAGTTCTACCAAGGTGTACACGCCCATTGGAGGGTTATAATTCACATTTTGTCTGACATTAGGAGGCATAAAGGCTTCCTCTTTTCATTATCATTACTCACATTTCACAGAGTAGTTAAATTGAGAAATCAATTAGTTTATGTACATCAAGGAGCCGTGTTTCATGAATGAAATGTAGAAAAATGTAGATTCTCGAACATTTCCTAGTTGAACATTGAGTAAACCTCGGAGTAAACACTTATATGATCTTGTTATTATGAAATTGTGGTGTACACCCCCTAACAAGCACAAAAACATCTCAGAGATGTTAAAAGTACGAGATTTCGAGATATTGAACCTCCACTGCAATGTTCTGTTTACACATAACTAGAACTTTTAGAGAGGGGTCACACGAGCGTTTAATGACGGACGTTGTAACGCGCGTTGTAGCGGACGTTGTAGAATAACACCAGCGTGATATGCGTCGGTCACACCACCAACGCGCGCTCAACTCGTCGCGCGTTATTCATTGTCAACGCTCAGCACCTCTAGTACGCCCGTTGGTGGACACAGCGCGCGTTCTTGTTCAACACATGGTCAGATATACGTAGCCACACGATATTCAATTTAACGCGCGTCTATCTGACGATTATACGAAACTGGCAGTATTTTTGTGATCTGGCAACAGCTAACGGTTGAGTTGTCCGTATCGTAGACTATCGTAGACATCGTAGACTATCGTAGACGTTGTTATCGTATGTTTTGGACTTGTTTTTGATTCATTATATCAAACATGGATATAGAAGTGATCATAAATGAGGTCCAAAAACGTCCCGTGCTTTGGGATACTTCTAATGAGGAGTACAAGGACCAGAATAAGAAAACTACAGCTTGAGAGGATAGAGAGTATAAAATGATCCACTTAAGAACTCTCACTGTTTATGGGATGAACCCACCATTTACGTTTTTTCCTAGCCTGCTTTTTTTTACGTAGATCTAGGTATAAAATCAGAAATGCGGCAACATCCTGCGGACCTTCCATGACTGTCACAAAACTCAACAAACTGACGCTCGTAACTAAACGCTCGTGTGGCCGGAAGATTTGTCGCGCGTTCCAAAATAACGTCCGTTTTAACGTGCGTTGCATAAACGCTCGTGTGGCCCCTCTCATATAGAACAGCCAATGTCCGCCGCAGGCGGCGTCTATAAAGATGTACTTGGGATTTCACAAAAATATCTTCTCTCTAGTTTTTTTCGTAGCCTTTTCACGGACACAACAAAACATTTTCTTAGCGTCTTGTGAACATTAAATCACTGTATATAAACCATTTTCCAGGTACTTTTCTGAAGCCTTTTGATAAAATGAACTTCTGCTTCTGCATTCGTATTTCATTTCCCTTGAATGAAAAAATGCATTAAAATAGATCGAACATCAAAATATTTCGTTTCTGAGTAGTGCTTGCTACACATAGGCATATATTTTGAAATAGGAATCCCTATGTCTTGAAATGTCCTGCCACACTGCATAATTTTGCATCTGCGGGGAAGCTGTGTATTGATTGATACATTCGTACTTCTATATTGATTACACTTTAAAACCTAACAACACATCTTGCATTTGCTGGTCATAATTCGCTACAGTATGAACGCAGATGAACGTAAGCGTGAGACGTTGTAAACGCGAATGCGACCGAGAGGCGAGAACAACGAGATCGGAAACAAATCGGAATTCATAGTATTGGGACGTAAGCATGAGACATGAGACGTTGTGGTGGGGTAAACAAAGAAATCGCACAGAAGATAAAAAACAATACTTCCAATATCCTTCAAAGACTTCTTTGGGGAGTGCATATTACGTCTCAAAAAACCAATCTCATGGCAACATTTTCAAAACATCCCAAAACATCTAAAGGATATTTCCTCAATACTCATACAAAGAACAAAAACAATACTTGCAATATCCTATGAAGAACTATTTGGGAAATGTATATAACGTCTCAAAAAATATCCTGATGCCTAAATTTTTTTTTAAAACATCTTGAAATATCCCGAAATACTTCTCAGTGGGCAAACAAAGAAATTCCACATAATAACAAAAACAATACTTTAATATCCTTTAAAGACTTCTTTGGGAAGTGCATATTACGTCTCAAAAAAACATCTTCATGCCAACATTTTCAAAACATCCCGAAACATCCCAGGGATGTTTGTGCTCGATGTGTCGGGTGTACATTATTATAAATTTTTTATAAAAATATAAAAATACCCTTCAAATCTTGTTTCAATTTCCAATTAATTGAAGCAAGAGCAATGTGCTTTTGGTCATATCCCAATCAAATCCCCTAAATATTTGTTTATTTGAGTATTTCATCAAGACGGTAAATTCCGAGGGAAATTCACAATGTAGCAATTATGACAATTGAAGACAAATTATAATTGTTATTTTCAAACCTCCATGACTAAAATAGGTCTTTTAGTCCCTTTTAACAAGGACTAAATTGAATCATTATTCACTTAGAGAGCTTATTGTTAGGACTAGAATTATGCATTGCTAAATTACTTAAAATTTCAAAGGGAACTGACAAATTTACTAAGTGGTATGTATCAATACTTTTCCAAAATTCGTTTGTCTATAGAACGGCAAAGCTTTGGAATTCTTTGCAAATGGAAGTATTCCCAAGAACCTATAATCTCCAAAAGTTCAAAAAATCTCCATTATTTATCTACACTAGCTTATTGATGCAAAATATCGATTCTTATTCTTGGTCAGTCTCAAATTCTTCAATTATGTTCTTCGATTATGTCTGATGGTGTGACTTGTGAACTCAGCGTAAATTAATATTGAATGGATTGATATTTTAAACAATTTTTTCAGGATGGATCCTTCACAACATACCAGAAAGCAAACCTGATGAACATTCATCTCGTCTCTGTTCTTTGGCTAGAAGCTTGCAGAAGTAGTGGTATGAAGGTTTCTGAATCAAAGTTTCCAGCTTTGGGTACAGATGCATATGATCATAATGTATCATCAATATGCTCAGTAAGTCATTTGATAAAAAAATCAATCCGAGTTGATGAGTTCTTGAATTCAATATCTACTACATCTACACTTTTGTTTTTCTTCATTTGTATCACACAACTTTACAAATTCATCTCAGTTTTACAATAGGCGAGTGGACCATTTTTTTAATTCCTAAACAGGTACCTTTCAATTCCATATTTTTTTAGAATTTTCGATTTTTAGGTGTTAAAATCAACAATAATGGCCACGGTAATTTTCAAACGGCAAAAAATTTACCGCGAGTAAAAACTGACGCCACAATTTCGGGAGTAGGGACCATAGAACAGTGTCCATTTCTTGGAATACGATTGAAACTTCAGGAATATTAATTATTCAATTATTCATAAATTTTCAATTTTGTATTCGTTATATTCCTAATCAGACATAAAGAATCAATTGTCTCAAAATATTCCCTCATCTGTTGGTATTGCTTACAATACATTTGTGTTAATAATATTATTATATTAATCCGCACTACATGACATTTAACGGTAAACGTGACAACAGGGTATCACGAAATGTGGGCGGTGCATTGTCAGTTCTCAGCATTCAGCACATTGTTGCCAAGTCTTCAACATCAACATGATATTTTGTAATGGAGTATAGAGATATTTGGATATGCTGGTTGCTCGAAAAAGTCAAGAATGAACTATAATATCATGGCTTCCTCATATTACGTTTTATCCTGTGTTTTATTCAACGACAAGACTCTAATTTTTTTGATAAATTGATTATAATTGGTGACTTGGCTACCTTACTTGATGGGTGGAAATGGAAGATTATCTGACCAATAACGAAACAGCATAAAAGCTGACGTTACCATTTATTCGACGTGTCGCCAAATGGCGGCCATGACGGTATGGTTTGAAATGAGCTCTGAAATTCTAAAATTTTGAACAACATATTTACATGAAGGAGCATGAGAAGTATTGCAAAAATTAATTCAGTTCCCTAACGAAACAGTGGAGTAATTGAGTGCCAATAATTCATTATCAGTCCACTCGCCCATTGCAACATAACATTATATGTTTCTTTACTCATGTGTATTTTTTGTAGTTAGTTTTAACATATAATTATTCAGTAGATATCAATGATGAATTTTGAAAACATCACTTGAAATTTCACATATTTTATGATATTTTTATGTATCATTCACAGATACATTCTCATGATTTCATTATTAATATTATGCTGAAAATATGTCTGCTTCCATTCATCAATATTTTCAGCAAATGCAGAAGGAATATGAAGACATAATTAAGGAAGAATATCAACGCAGTATACTAACAGGAACACCATTGCCATCTACTAAAGCTTTAATTGATCGTCGTAGAACAATCATGACTCCGAATGTTTCAGCTACTCATTACTCGAGAAATAATTTCTCGCAAGAGTTTTCTTCATCGCAAGATAAAGAAATTGCAGATATATTATGTCGCGGACGTAGAACTCAAAACTTTTCGAAAAATATTCATCATGAAGTTGAATCATCACCTGAGCTTACGTCTGATGACGATTCTGATATGGTAGCTTTAATTGACGGAAAAATAATAAGTACGAAAACGAAAAACGTCCATATTGCTGAATCATCCCTAGGTGATCAGGTTGGCAAAACTTGTGAGAACTCCACAATCCATGATTATATTATTAATGATTCTATGGATTTGACGACATTAGCAACAGAAGTCAATAATATTTCTTCTAAAGAGAAAGTATTTCCAAATACTCCCGACGATATTTACAATGTAAAGACACCAAAAATTATAAGTAGTAAAGCAAAAAGACCTACTACTGGAAAGGTCAAATCTGGAAAGATTCTTGACCGATTGGCTTGTACCTCTGAAGTTGTTTCTAAAAAACGTATAAGCAATTCAACTGAGAAAATTGAAAGTAGCAAGAATGACACTAAAATTTCTGATGTTGCTTCCAATGAAGAAATGTCTTCCCTGCAACTATCATTTTCTCCTAAAGTGCAAATTTTGAGTAAAAATGTTTCTGTGGCCTCTCCCAATATTGTGAAAGGTGAAACCACCACTTCAATGTCAACATTAGAAATTTCTTCAGATACAACGAAAACGAGCGTAAGAAAGTCAACAAGTACAAATATGTCATCCCTGCAAATATCCACGAAAAATTGTGATAGATCAACAGATACAACAAAAACTAGCGTTGGAAAGTCAACAAATACAAATATGTCATCCCTGCAAATATCCACGGAAAACTCTGATAGATTATCAGGTACAAACATGTCCCCACAGAATACTACTGAGCTTGAAAACACAAAAGAGAAACAGAGTTTTTTGAACAAAACAAGCGTCGAAAGAGTAAGTGGATCTAACAATAAGAGTTTTAATTCTGTTAACTCGTTCAGTCCACTTCAGCAGGACGTAATGAATAGTTTGTTGAATCTGCTTGATGACAAACTTGAGAAATCACCAGATAATGTTACGAGAAGAAAACGTATGAATGTGAAAAACAAAAATACAGAATTGACAAAGTCCCAGAATACTAATATTCCCAAGAAATCTCAGGGACGAAAAAGTATTCAAAATGACATATCTAATCAAAATATTGACCAAGAAAAACGTTACTCACGTAGAAAAACTATCCATTGTGTGAATACAAGATCGAAGACGCAAAAAACTGAAAATGTTGGTAAAGCTGATCAATTGAAATATGGAAGTTCTTCTGATTCCAGTGAAAATGAGTGTAATAAAAACCGTAGAGCACGTAAACTCTACAACCCCGATGATTCAATTGGGGAACTGGAGTCGTCCGACGACAAAGAAAGAGAACATAAGAGATTAAAGGGCAAAAAAAGAAAATCTGATGAGGGTGTCTTCATTCGCCCAAATATAGTTCCAATCAAACCAAATGTTTTCGTATCACTGAGAGCAAAACAATTAATCGACAAGCGTAATTTGAATGTGGATAGTATCTTGAATAAAGAACCTAGTGATTCGAACTTGGAACCTCTCATCTCTTTAGGTAAAAAGAAAGTTAAAAAGGGTAAATCTACAGAAAAAGTTGCTAACAGTGGTGATGATGATGAACAACGAGAACTAGCTGAAGAACTTCTTGCAAACAAAAATAGAGTTGAAAAAAATATTGAGGTAAACTTGAAAACATGTGATAAAACACCTCGTCGTGATTCTGAAAGAGATTTATCAAAACACACCAATATTGGTGACGAAATTGAAAGCAAGGATTCAAAGAATATCAAACAGGCACTTAGGCCTCGCAAAAAAAACATTGGTGATCAGATAACGCCAATTAAATCTACTAGTGACGAAAAGGAAATGAAAACTCCTCAAAATATTCACAAAGTGCCCAGAAGTGTTGCCAGCTTGCCAAAGAAAACTAAATCCAATATCAAAACTACTCCACTCTCTAAGAATATTTCTCAAAGCGTTGGGCCCAACCAAAGAAGATGCTCAGTTAGAATGTCTCAACGAGTACTAAATAAAATTGATTTCAACAGTACTCAATCTAGTAGCGAAAGAACACCTTCGAGGAATCGTAGGAGTTCGTTAGAGTTTCAGGCAAAATCTACGTTGAAGAAGAAAAATCTGAAGATTGACAAGGCCAAGAAACCCAGCGTAGTGTGTACTAAGATGCACAAAGACGACATTATGGTATTCAACCAGATAGTGCGAAAGCTAGGAGTTTTCGTTGTCGAAGATGAAGTAACCAGTAAAACTACGCATTTGGTCGCAGGCGAACCAAAGCGGACGATAAATATGTTGAGAGCCATTGCTAATGGTTGTTGGATCCTGAAGAAAGAATGGGTTTGTTGAAACTTTGCTCTGACTTGATTCCAAATATGACTTTATATGTTTTCAGCTCTTCAAATCATTAGAGGCCGGAAAATGGCTCCCTGAAGAAGATTTTGAGGAATGTGACTTTTCTCCAATAGTGCAGGTAGGTTTAGTGTTAACATATATTTCAATGCGGCCACGTTGGTAGCATTGAAAGGAAATATGGAAGAGGAGAGAAATTTCCTCCTCTCTTTCGAGGTAGAAAAGAGCTCAATTCGAGAATTCGAGACTTCTGTCACTGTCAGACTGTCGCTGTCACTTGTTCTATGCTTCTGTGATTTGTGTTCTGTGCATGGAACATGAAACGACTACGATGAACTCAATGTAAACACCTGGAAGGGAGACTGCCGTTTTATGGAATAGCACAGAGGTCAGAACTGTCCAGGGGCAGCTTGTGTTACGGTAACCTGTTTCTTTCACACGCGTGTTGTTTAATGGCGAATTGGTGTATACATTTTCTTTTATCCAATGTTTGGAGTACTTGAGACCTATTTTTTTATCTAAACAGGCAAAAATGTGAAGACATAACTTCATTTTTTTTTGTTCAGTATGTGAAACATCGCAAAATTTGTCGTATTTTGTTTTTTCAAAAGGACTGAATTTGTTGGTGTGAATTGATTGTTGTTGAAAAGTTTTGTGATTCGGAATGAATAAACAATGGTTATTCATTGTGCTGCCTTTGGATTCAAAACAAGCAGGACAAACGGGAATTGTCTTCTATGGTCAAGATGAAAATTGTTCAAATTTTAAGAAAAACTATAGTAATTTATTTTCAGGATGTGTCTGTGAATGTTCATAAGCTACCAAGTTTCAAAGTTTATTGATAATGAAACCTGAACTTTTTAATTTTGAGTGGCCTATTCTATTACAGAGAAAAGTGAAAACATTGAAACAAAAAGTTAAAACGGAGAATGACAATCTTGATGAGGTACTAAAAAACATTTTGAGCAGGGTATAGAAACTACAAGTTCAAATGTTTAAATTCAAAACTGCATCATATTTTCTTTCCAGGTTTGCCTTTGGAGCTTCCCCTTCTCCAGAATGGAGAAAATAGAACTTGGGTAGGTAGGTACTCAATACCATTCAAGAATCTCTTTTCAAATTGTTTCTATCGTTTTTCTTTTTCTTCTGATAGTGCTGAGACATTGAGCTTTGCTCACCCTGTACAATATATTGTGACATCTGAATGAGAATATACTTATAATTTCAATTTTGTATTCATCTGACTTCCTGATCCTGTAAGAATGAAAATGAAGTTTCACTTTTGTCAATAATAATTATTGAATTGTAATCGATTGCATCATTCACCTTTTTCCTGAATGAATATTTATATTCAATCACTTTTGCTCTTAAATAAAAGCGAGAAACGTGAAAATATTTCAAATAATGCGACCGCTTCCCTTTAACCAACACAAGATAGAAAGAGATAGGTATCCGTAACCACTGCGGGTTGCCTGAACAATCTTTTTGCCTCACTCGTTGTTCACAGAGGATCCTTTCCAGGGTTCATTGAACGGCTACGATTATTTTCATGTCAGTCGGACACACGTCACAGAAACTCAGAACACCAGAACACTGACATAAGAATTGCCAACTCAGTCATTTTATGGCTAGTTCTAGCCCTTTCTAAACTCATCTAGCTACTAAAAATTGCATCTAGCCATTTAGCCATTTTATCTAGCTTTTTTTATTCTGACTTTCTATAAAATTATTTTCATATGTATTTATAATATTCCCATAGATATAGTTCACCATATTCACGATTTAATCTAAGTCAAATTCAGACCAGTCTTAATTTCTATGAATTTTGTACTACATGCTTTGTGACATTTTCACAAATTGTCGTCAACTCTCCACGTAACGTTATAGGTCAATGTCAATACTACTTGAGTTGAGTCTAGCTTTGTTTATTGCTGGGCGATTTTGGCTCTGGCGATGATGTCGATGAAGCGGGTGATGTTACTATTGGTCGATGGTGGGCTACCCAATTCAAAGTCCATTCCAACTTAGAAACCAGCATTGGAAACCATTGGAAAGTGTTGACCTTCGCTTTGATTAGTTAATAGGTATTAGAGGCAATATTACACCTGGCTGATATTATGACGTTTGATGTGACGCAAGGATTGAATTTTTCTTCAAGTGAAGATGATCATATCATCACAGTTTTTTCGTTTGTCGTATCCTGAGATTAAACACGAACTCAAAGTGGAATTCAATCATTAGAATGACTATGATTTTGAATTAGGCGCCATATATTTATTTTGTGTATAAATTCCTTCAGATGCAGCGCAACCTATTGTCTTCTTATTTGGAATGTAGTATAGACTAAAATTTTCAATGTCAGACTTGTAGTCCAATGTCAGATTTCTTGTTTTTGCTAGAAATATTGCGAAACAATGGCTAGATTTGCTATAAAAATTTGCGCCTGTGGCGCGCTTTCATTTATAGCCATTGTTTAGCCTTTTTCCAACAATCATCTAGCTGTTTTTGAAATTGGCTGTTGGCAACATAAGATGGTACAGACAGAGACGTTATAACTCATCTCTGATGAGATGAGTTAACTTATCTTTGGTACAAACTAGCAACAGGTAGCCAAGTATGAAAATTCCCATATTATGAGTTTATTTGGTTTTCCCCCCTTTTTCCGATTTCTATATTTTTTCAACTAATAGCGAATTCCATTGGTAAAACTGGCTCGCACTGAGTGCATATTTTGTATTCCATTGTTAAAACTGGTGTCGGATTTTGAATTCCATTGGAAAACTGGTTCACATAGTTTAGAGCTCAGTGCAACAATTCTCGCACGAGCTCTAATAGGTCGTGCGGAGTCAGTGCAGTTTTGAAAATGGCGGAAACATTGAATATGCATGGTTTAAAAACCAAAAATGAGTGGCAATCTAATCATCATAATCAAGTAGTGATGAAAATTTGGAGGTTTCAAGAAAATAAGAGAGATTACTTCCCAGAATTCATAATTTTGTTTAGTGTTTTGCACTATAATTCAATGATGAGGTACTTATTAAAAAAACTGCTCAAAATTATTTCCATGAAAGTATTGTATCGCCTCTCATTTGATATCCCAACAAATGATCTGTATGCGATAACAGAAAAATGTTCATTGGATGAATTATATAAAATAGATTCTCTTAAAGTTTCATATAATATAATAAACAATAATCTGAAATCCAATTTTGTTTCGGTAAGAAACTCAGAAATTCATGGTCATCACACGAGACAATTAAACTTATTTCATCTTGATTCTGCTACTTCTATAATTGGCCAAAAAAAATTCACTCACGCTGCTCTAGCTGAATTTAATAAATTACCACATAATATAAAAAATTGCAGAATATTTCAAAATTTAAAATTAAATTGAAAAAACACATGATTTCATTACGAAATGGATAAAATTGATACTTTGCCATCTACTGATTAGTCCCTGTGGCTATTTTTATGACTTGATCGATTTAGCATTTTTAGATTTTTCAGATTTTTATTGTTGTTGTTGTCACCTTATATTATTTTATTATTGGTGTTTGTAATCAACTTCCTCATACCAGAATTTTATTTCTGATTGGAAGCTAGTTTTTCAATAAACAATAATAATCTACTTTGTTTTTAATTGAAATCAAGAAAGAATTTCAGGATGCTGACAAGTTATAAACAAAGACAAACAAAGGACCCCGCACGAAAACACGGGAAATTGGCTCTCGGTCGAATTGGCTGAAATTATACTATGTTGTTGTGGAATGGCTCATTTGAAAAATATGTGAGTTTGAGAAGTTTTGTATATTTAGTTTCTGAGATATAAGCCGACAAAGTTCGTGAAAACGTCGTATTGGGGTAGTATTGACAAAGAAAAAAACTGTTTTTTTAGTATAAATAAGACAAAGTAAGCTAGAAAATGTATTGATCAGTATTGTAAATCAGGGTGTATACGAGGCACGGTCAAAAAATTCATTTTTCGGAAAAAAAATTCAAGCACTATTCCAAAACCAACAAGTTATATTTTGGTGAGACATTATAGTTTCAGTTGAAAGCTGAGGTAACTCACTAGCGAATTCAATATTGATTTTCATTTAGATACAGGGTGTGTTAGATTTTTCTGAAGATTAATTAAAATGTTTCGATTGAATATCTCTAAAACAGTTTCGTTAATTGGGATCTCATTTCACTCACACTGTTTTGAATATGTTGACTATAATATGCAAGAAGTTTTTCCAATTTTTCATGTTTCGTTTCGGAGATATGCATTTTTGAGTTTACAGTATTACAGGTATTATAGGGTTATTACCTCGGATATTACTATTGATTCAACAGAACTTTACGGAATCCATACTGTTAATTTTCATATTGTTATTCAATGTGGTTCGTGTTGTTTATGGTAACAAATTATTGATTTCTCATTGTTTCATAATGTAATTGAATGTTCGAAAGATTCCGTAAAGTTCTGTTGAATCGATAGTAATATCCGAGGTAATAACCCTATAATACCTTTTATACTGTAAACTCAAAAACTGATATCTCAGAAACGAAACATAACAAATTGAAAAACTTCTTGCATATGATAGTCAACATATCCCAAATAGTGTCAGTAAAATGAGATCCAAATTAACAGAACTGTTTTCGAGATATTCAATTGAAACATCTTAAATTATCTTCAACAAAATCTAACACACCCTGTATCTAAATGAAATGCAATATTGAACGAATGAATTCGCTAGTGAGTCACCCCAGCTTTCATTCAATCAACAGTATCAATTAATCCCTTTCTTTGTTATCAAACACAAGCTGTCAATTGTTTTCAAAAAGGGGTGTAACAACAGAATTGTAAAAATTCATATTTCGAACAGAGATAGTTATCAAGAATCAAAATACGTTTTCGAAGCCTACAATAGACGTAAACTATGATGTCCCGCTCTATTATAACTTGTTGGTTTTGGAATAGTGCTCGAATTTTTTTTCCGAAAAATGAATTTTTTGACCGTGCCTCGTATACACCATGATTTACTATAGTTTATGTGAACATAACTAGACATGTATTTGAGTTCCGATCAATACATTTTCCAGCTTATTTTGTCTCATTTATACTAAAAAAACAGTTTTTTTCTTTGTCAATCCTACCCCGATACGACGTTTTTACGAACTTTGTCGGCTTATATCTCAGAAACTAAACATACAAAACTTTTTGAACTCACACATTTTTCTAATGAGCCATCCCACAACAACATAGTAATATTTCAGCCAATTCGACCGAGAGCCAATTTCCCGTGTCTTCGTGCGGGGCCTTTATCCGATTTAACCTCCAACAATAAAATTTTATTATATTATTTCGTATTCCAATGGGAATGCACCAGTTCACATTTTGGAGAGAGCTAACGTAGTGCGGGTGCAAAACTGGTGCAAAACCAGTGCACCACCAGGTTTACGTATAGAATTCGCTATAATATTCCCACAGGAAACTGGGGCAGGTTGGAACAAAAAATATATAGTTGTTCCTAGTTGTCATATTTTCTAGTGAAAAATTCTGAAAAAAATAGGAAATGACAGTTACTCTGTTATGTACAATTGCATATTGTTGAAATTCCGCTGAATGAAAGAAATACGGGCGAAGCAATTTTTTTGTTGGAACATGTTTTTGTTTCATTGAACCCCATGCTCGGGGCAGGTTGTAACAGTTGATGATTTTGTAGGGGGCAGGTTGAAACATCATTTTATTTCATGAAATAATGCATATTTCAATTTCATCAAATTGAGTTTAATTCGAAAACGCACGAATATGATATTCACAACCATATGAAACAGGTACAAGTGTTACAAATATCTAAAAAACCTAAAATAATTTCATTAAAGGAACACAAAATTAACAAGCCTTCAACTCGAGAACAAGAAAAATAAAATTATCTCTAACAAATCTTTATCGTACATCCAAACTTGATTCTGAAGCAAAATCTAGATCCGAGTCTGAATCTTCATCTTTGGGAGAGTCAAAAACCTTGCGTTTTAGTTTTCTGGTGCGGATTTATTTTTTGTTTGCTTTTTCATAAAGCTTCTATGGCTTGAAACGGTTCAACCTACCCCATTTATTTTGTTTCATTGTACCCCAATCACGTTTTCAACGCTTTTATGTATCATTATTACGAAATTTCATCACTAATTTGAATCATAACCGTAGAGATGAACATGGCATATGATACATATTAATGATCTAATTTAGTTGATATCCTAAAAAATTAGGCGCCGATTATATTGTCATGAGAATATCATGCAGAATATTTACTTTTCTCACCTGAGAACACTCAAATACGCCCTACACAACAACCAAACTTTACACACCAAACAATACAGTTGCGAAAATTCCGCGGAATTTGAAATGTTTCAACGTGCCCCGTGTTTCAACCTGCCCCAGTTTCCCTACAGGGAAATTTCCCACATGTAGGCATCATTGTTGGTAATTAATTTTAACTCACAGAAAAGTCGCATGCAGAGGCAAGCATTCGGCCGTACCTACTCGCTGGACGTTTTCCGCGATTGCGGACCAATATTCATCGCCAAAGATACCATCCCGAGGTGTTCAGACTTGCGGGAACTGGTGACATCGTGCAAAGGAGAAGACGCAGCGAATTCTAGAAATGCCAGAATCGTTGTGGGCCAACTGATGAAGCAAGATGGGGTGGTTTGCGTTACGGTAAATTGGATCCTTGATTCGATAACGTTGGGCAAAAGGATGCCGTTCAAGAAGTATATTTTCGAATCTAACAGACGCAGTATTGCTGTTTAGTTTTATTTTATGTTGTTCAAGGTCTTGTATATTTTTATGTGCCATATTCTGAACTGTACAAAGAACAAAGTAAAGCTGAAAGCGGGGTAGGTTGGTTATGGTTGAGCGATGACTTGCCAGGTGAATTTCATTAGCTCAGTGAAACTGTCCTAGTTTCCGAAATATGATTACTTTCTTGGAAGTTGTGAAAATCACTAGTCTTATAAATGTTTCTAGCACCTCCGCCAAATTATCTTCGAAATTCGACTGTGCTATAGAAAATATTCAGACACTTGTTTATTATTAACTCACTTCTTCAGCTTTGCAAATTTTTGGTGTGAAAGAAAAGTTATACTTTGTAATTTTCTCATTGAAAAAAGGCTATTATTGATGTTTCATCATGGAAGGGGTTCATTCAGCTTGACATTGCTCTTTGGAAAACCCATATAATAATTGTACAATGTAAAGATATGAGGAATACGAATGATAACGTATTCTCTTTATACATGTATTTTGTAAGTTTTATACCTTGTGACTTTTTATATAGTTTTATATGCGATGTCTATGGAATCTAATATATTTTTAGTTTATAATGTGCGTTTCATTAATTTCTACCAAGAACAGAATTTTGTGATCTATTTCTTCTGTACACACCTCAAAAATCGAATTTGGTATGGTGGCAACAACCATCATCAGATAATCATAAAAACTTAAGTGGGGTCAACGATATATCGGATTATATATCTAGTACAATCAATGAATTCTCGGCTGGAATTAAAAAAATATATTGGCCCATGAGGGGATCGAACCCGCGACCTTCGCGTTATTAGCACGACGCTCTAACCAACTGAGCTAATGGGCCAGTTATTAAATAGTTGAAAATAGTACAACACAAATATTTGGAGTGAAATTGTCAATTTTTATACTATTCTTGCTATTCTGGCCAAGTTTAAATTTATTTTTTCTACATTCATGCAAAAAGCAGAACTTTATTGAACTATATTTAGTGGAAAAAGAAGTTATTTATTGCACTTAGTACAATAAAGTTTTTATTACACTCATCTGTCATTCTACTTCAACGTGCTGTCATCATGACAAACATTTTTTATATTGCAACTGTGGTTATAGAAACGTCAGTCAAAAATTAATTCTGACTACGAAATATTCATATTGAAAATTGCACCAATTGTTCATTCACTTTCAACAGTGAGGGTAAAAATAAAGTTTGAGTTAAATTGTTCGTAACGTATTAGTTCCTGTTTCAATGCAAATCGATATTAATAATAAAGTATTCAAGTTGCGTTTTTCATTTTCCTACACCTAGTGCCGCACCTCAATAAATCATTTTTTGCTTTTTGCATGAACGTAGAAAAAATGTTGTATGCAACTCGCGTGCAATAAACATTCACTTTTTGCACTTGTTGCATAAATTACTATTTTTCATTGCTACTTCCAGAATAAACGAATCATTATTTCTTGTTTTCTAAGTATAGTATAACCAACACGAGCCATATATATTGCACGTTTACAGATGATTAATCTTAAATGTGACATGTGAACATCAACTTTTCAATTCATTTGTTGACAGAATGTTGATACAGACCAATTTGTTGACAGATATTAATTTATTTGCACTGCCTACTACAACGCATGGTCTAAAACGTAAATAGTGAATCATAAATTGTGACGTTTTGACCGATTATGAACCCAGATAACACAGGATATATCCTATTTCATTTCAGGTCGGGATATCCTGGGACTTGAAATGGATATCCATAGGATATCCGTCAGAGGATATCAAATGGATATTCTGATGCGGATCACCTATGGACGTCCATATAATTACTTATTCAAATTATTGAGGGGGTTGCTCTCGGAAGGAGAGGGCTGAAGTATGGATAATTTATTTTGCGACAAACGCGGTGTCCCCTTCCAAATAAGAATCGACGTGTTTCGTTATTTTTTTGTATAATAATTTTTCTGAAAGATATACAGTGTGACCCACTTCTAATGGAACCGCCCCTGTATCTTACGTAATCGTTGGGTAAGGATCCTGAAATTTGCTGGAGCGAGAGATATACCAAAAATGCACTCTATGACCAAGTGGGGTCATCTTCAGTGATATACACTGCTCGCCAACAGCCATGAAACTACCCCAATTTCCGGAAAATGATATTAGGAGTCAAAATAGGTCGAAAATCACTTCAGATTTGGAATCAGGACGCCCAATTTACAAACTAGTCAAATTTTCACCCCCGTATTTCACGTAATTATTGAGGTAGGGTTCTGAAATTTGCCGGAGGAAGAGAAAGTCCAGAGATATAGTCAATTACGTGAGATACGGGGGTGCTTCCATAAAAAATGGGACAAAATTTCATTTTTCCGAACTGAAAATTTTCCAGGAAAAATTTGAATAGTTTGTAAATTGGGCGTCCTGATTCCAAATCTGAAGTGATTTTCGACCTATTTTGACCCCTAATATCATTTTCCGGAAATTGGGGTAGTTTCATGGCTGTTGGCGAGCAGTGTATATCACCGAAGATGACCCCACGTGGTATATCTCTCGCTCCAGAAAATTTCAGGATCCTTACCCAACGATTACGTAAGATACAGGGGTGGTTCCATTAGAAGTGGGTCACACTGTATATCGAGGGTCGTGGAAAGTCTTGAATGGATCACCCTGTATATATACCTTCCTATACGCATATTTCTACGGACTCCCGTCAATTTATTTGCACATGAAATATTTCTACATACCTATACCTACCTATATCCAAATCCAAATTTACCCAACAGGTGAACGCTCTGCAAGTTATTTCCAGAAATCTGAAATAGTGCTTGCAGTCATACATAATATATCATCCAACAAATACTGGGGGTTTCCGAAATTAGAGCGATAAATAAAATGTGGGATTTTTTAATCAGACAAACTTATGAACATCCACAATAATATAAGAGATTATAGTTTCAAAAAATTATCTAACCTAACCTGCAGCAGGTTAGGTTAGATAAGGTTAAGTTCAAATCCACTTTTCTTTCTACAAAGTGCATATGATGGTTGCGTGAGGGGAGTTAGTCTGTTCGTTGGTTCAGACCCATCTTATTCTCTAGGTGATGGTACCTTAGCTTAGAAGATATAGGTCTGTTGCATGATGGAAGGAAGATGTGTCTCGAGGACTGATGCTCCTCTCTGTATATACCCAGGTTGCTCCTGCTCAATTCTAGAATATCTGCCTGGTTATATTTTACTTTGATGGTTTTTAGATCGTAGATTTTAGACAGGAACGCCTTCGGAAGTCAATCCTAGTAAATCAGACCAGAACGTGAGCTTCTTCGGTCCGCCCAATCAGAAATATTTGTTTTGGCAGAACTTCCCAGGCAACCAGATGACGTTCCAGTGACGTCTTTTTCACGTCACTTGAATGACCAAAGTGACGTCAGTAGATGACGTCGCATTGACGTGATAATGACGTGAATAAGTCACAGCCCAATTACGTCATATTACTCACGTCGTATTGACGTTATTCACTCACCAAACTGTGACGTCCGACTGACGTCATAATAACGTCAAAATGACGATTGAGTTTGGCGATGATACGTAAAAACCCAATCAGCACAAGTACGTCTTATGGACGTTTTAAAAACGTCCACTCTGGACATTCAGGACGTTTTGGGGACGTCCATTTCCGGACGACGGACGTCTTATGGACGTTTTGAGGACGTCCATTGTTAATAATCAGGATGTTTTGGGGACGTCCAGTTTAGGTCCAGACTAGGACCTTTTTGGGATGAAAAATGGACGTATTGAGGACATTCAGACAATATTGATTATTGATTTTGTGACCCATCTGAAGAGTGAAATACTTGATGGTTAACATTTATTCGCAAACGATAATATGAACAGATATTCAGGTAGTTGTTTCAATTTCACTCTTCCATATCGTATATCAGCAGCTGCACCACTAAAAACGTCGCGTGATTCATCCAGGTACGCTGGCGCGGTGATGTCTTTTTCTGATTGACAGCCTTCTGTTGTCTTCTTCACTGGATCTGTAAATAATAATAATATTCAATAACATCTTCTGTGAATACCATAAACCATAAACACACACCCACTTTCAACGTGTAGTAGTCAGTATAGCGGAATACTTCATTATTTTTATTTCATTGAGAACTTTTTCCATACATAAACTGATTCTTAGGTAGGTACCTATATAACCTCTATGAACCTTGCACGAATTTCGAATTATATTATGTTTTAACTATATACAAAAATATAAACTTTGGTAGATGATGGAAATAGGATTAGGTAGAGCTTTGCATGAGATCAAATTATTTAGAAAGGTATCTAATGTTTTCAACCACAGATTTGATGTTCTTACTCAAGCATCTTCATGCGAATGAAAATAAAACGATAGCGTCGATAGCCATACTTGCCTTCAAATAAACATCTCGATGGAACTCGAGATCGAAGTTCACCAGTTGATAGATGATATCCGCAAAGATTTCACTTATTCACTGCTTTTACAGTCTAATAACCCGAAAAGTTCAGAATGTCCTTGGACCTGAATCACAGTTTAATCGGCACTCGGCAGTGGTCAACTGACGGACGCCATCTTCCTACGTTTTCGTTTCACAGTTTCACACGTAACACGCACAGTGTTGCCGGATGAAAATTTGTCGGAGCAGTAGATGGGTGGGGAAAAAACAGTAGATCATCAAAACTGAACAGAAGATTTTGATAATCATCTCAATTGCTATCATGAATGAAAAAACATAGTCACCTATATAATAAACGAAAAAAAAAAATCATGTTCGGTCTCTATACCTATCAAAAATCGAACGAAGAATAACAAAAAATAATGAAATAAAAAATAAAATTTGTGAAAACCGCAACCAGATTGGAAATAAAAGCTAATTTTCACTAATCAGACTGAATATGATAGTTGCAGTATATTTTTATCATACATCTTCTTACTGTGATGTCCCATTAATTTTTCATTGTTGCATATTGGGTAGTTACGTCATATCAAAACTTGACCAATCAGACCATTGCCTTGAATAGTTGAACAGTAGAACGGAGACAAAAACAGTAGATCTACTGCCAAAATAGTAAGTCTGGCAACGCTGAGCACGCATGCGTTCTACGGTTGCTTCACATATTCAGTGATTCAATCAAATATTATTATAAAAGCGCGGCTTGTATGAATACTTCAGTGTGGGTTTAAGAATGGTCAAACTGTATAGGTATTAGGTGATTGAAGGAATATGATTCAACATAACTATATAAGTTGGTACAAATCAGTTAAAATCATGAATATTTCAAATTCATAATATTGATAATAAAATGAAATTCAATATATTGATACAGCTGATATATAATATATTTTTTTGACATTATTCATGTCCATATCCAATTCAATAATTCTAATTTCAAAATTCATATATACCTACCTACTTATATCAATTTAAACTGATATACCGTGAGAGTCTGTAAATTGGACGTTTTAAAGACGTCTTTTTTTGGACGTCCGGAGTATGTCCAATAATGGACGTCTTAAAAACGTCCATAAAAGGTTCTGGACGTTCAGAC